ACCCCAGTTCTCTCCTGAACTTCTACAATGAGGATAACGCACTCATTACCCTCAGCCTTGACAGCTCCCTTGGATTTTTTACCAGCCGTGACAAGCACCGAAGTTGCCTCAGGTGCTACTCCCACAAAAGAGGTATAAGCTTCAAGACAGCACCACAGGCAAAACTGGAGGAGACAGCAGTGGCCTGTTTTGTGGAACCATCTGCAAAACTCCTTTTATGTGAGTCAAATATAAAGTAAATACATCTATCAAATTATTTCTATTTAATTTCTCAGAGGTTCAACAGGCATGCCCTCAAATTTCTAGCTTTAAAAATCATCTACTCTGGCTATGACTAGGCATAGGCTCTTATGGCAATAGGATTCACTGCAAAGTTCACAAGGCAGCTTAGGCTAGTATTGAGTTTTCTTGTATGTTTTCTTTGAGTTTTCTTGCCTACAGCTGTCTGAGCTACACTTCACAATTTAAAGTCTATTTTTGTTTTTGATTTTGTTTTTATTCTTTTTTGAGACAGAGCCTCAAGCTGTCGCCCTAGGTAGAATCCATGGCATCACAGCTCACAGCAACCTCCAACTTCTGGGCTCAAGCAATTCTCCTGCCTCCGCCACTCTAGTTAGCTGGGATTACAGGCACCTGCCACAATGCCTGGCTATTTTTGGGTGCAGCTGTCATTGTTGTTTGGCGGGGCAGGGCTGGATTCAAACCCACCAGCTCAGGTGTATGTGGCTGGCACCTTAGCCACTAGAGCCATAGGCGCCGAGCCTTGCTTTTGTTTTTGTATAAAGATATAGGTTTCACACTTACAGACTTATGCTGCACTTTTGAACCAACAAACCTCCTCTAATCTCCTTATTTCACATTCCCAGCAAACTTCAATCCTTGCCAGAAACAAAATCTCAGTGAGATATTATGGTCTTTGAAATAGGCAAAATAGAGAATGAGCATCTTAAAATTAAAAAGGGAATTCTGAGTAGCTGATCCAGCATTCTGAGATCAGACACTTTGGCTTTCTGTATTAACAAAGTGAAGATAATACTACAATGCATGTTATACCTCACAGACTGGTCTGGGGATGAATAAAAATCATGAAAGCAATGAGCTAGTGGGAGTTAGATTCTGATTCGTCTGTTGTATTTTCATTATTCCTGCTCCACATGATTTGTGAAGGGCCAAAATAAATTCACCACTAAGAGCATATAAAGTAGATGCCAACAGCATATAGAGAAATCCTCCAATAATAACACAAGGAAGCTTTAATTAAAGGTTTTCTCTTCATCCTAAAAAGTACCTTCAGGACACAATTTCATCTGATGGCATTCTTCCTTGAATCCTTAGAACAATGCCTATTAATGCTGACATCACATTAGAAAAGTCTTGTGATTTTTACTTGGGTTGAGATTTGAACACTTCAGTTCACTTAACAACAGTTCTCAAAAAACTCAACATTTAGGAGGATAACTTGTCAGAAATGGGAAACGATGTGGGATTTGAATCCTGCTCCATTATTTACTAGAGGGATAAAGCTTGAGTTATTTAACCTCTGTGAACGTCTTTGTTTATCCATTTAAAGAAAAAAGAGAGCATGTAACACATAGATGCTCTACAAACCTTCAGCCCTCTTTAAAGACTGCAAAACTCCAAAACATCAAGGGTATTGTTTGGCTTTTTAAAATGTGAACCTGAGATGAGGGAATGTTCTCTGAGTGGTAGAAAACTAAGTTTTGTAATTTCAGATTTGCTGATCTTACCTGCTTCTCATTGCCTGAAATTATTTCTTTTCTACTAGTAGTTGTAGTAGTAGTCATAGCAAAAATTTGCTAAAGCTATGAAAGGCAAATGTATATTTTCTTCCAAAATAACGTTTGCCAAACCCTTAATGAACATATCTTCCTTTGATGTTAGCATTTATTTCAACTAATGACTACTTCTGATATTTTTATTAATTCTTAATCTTAATTTATTTTAGGTCATAGCTTATCAAAGTTAAGATCCTTAGGAAATGATAAGAAACGATCGCTCACCAAGTACTGCATAGCAATAGAACGTCGAAGAGGTCCAGGAGGTCCTATTAGGAAAACATCTTGCCCCAAAAGATCTTTCTGCATTATCCATCTTAGATGATGAACTACAGACTGAGCCAGAGAATCTGAAACTTTAACAAAAATAAAAAAAGAAAAGAAAAGAAAATACAAATTATTTATACTATTACTTATAATGTAAATCTTGAAGTAATGTAAATAATATGTTTAAACACACATATATATTTTCAGATATGCAAGATAAAGAGACAGATATATAGACATTTTCACACTGCATTACAATAAAACCGCTATTACTCTATACTAAAACAGGACAAAGTTTATATCTCAAGGGACTATGTATGTTCCATACTTGAAAGGTTATAGGAACATTTAAACAATTACCTATAAGTAATTCCTAAAGAAGTGAAAGTGATTTTTAAGGATGAGATGAGGAACTGGCTTTTCACTTATCACAATTTTACAGCGAAATTCTTTTGTTCCAAAAATGACCAAATCATCTCAGACAATTAATGATTATTAGTCTTAAAAAATTTGAGAAAACAGTATTATAACTTAAGTTGGCAATAGATAAGCGGGTCTCCCAAACCTCACAGTTAGAAAATTTGATACAGAATTAAAACTATTCCTTCAGAATTTAGATGTAAGTCTACTCTTCTGCACCAACTCTCTGGGGAATAGATTACCCACACAATGTCCTTTCTAGTCTACTGTTAAATCACCTACTAATGTGTTCATCTTCTACCTAAGTACTCTCTAGAATGTTTAATTAATTTGTGTTTCCTCATAGGTAAAGCACCAAATGACCCAGAAAGTCCAGTCCACAGTACACAAGAAAAACTTTTAACTTTATATACATCAGGAGACTTGTACTGAGCAGAATTGTGTGCAATAAAACTGGAGACAGGAGAATGGCTAAAATGTACACGATGGAATATTATAAAGCAGAAAGAACCGCCACTGCTCCCAACAATATGCTTAACCCTTAAAGATTAATATCAAATGAAAAAGTTAAGTCACAGAATAAATCACATATGCTACTATTTTAATAAATCTCAGTAAACTAGCAAATGGATTATTTAGAAATACATACATCTATTGTAAAACAGTACTTGAAAAAGCAAAAAACAAGAGAATGATAAATTCAGGATAACTGGATATCTGAAAATAAGGAGTAGGCATGGAATCAAAGAAATTTTCACATACAGCTTCAAGGATATTGGTAATATTCTAGTTCTTAAATTGGGTATGGAGTATCTTGTTTGTTTGATGATGCATTTGATATACACATAGACATATATATTACACAAAATCATTTGTATGTAATGAACATTCCATACTTTCTAAACTTTATTTAATCACCCCATGAAGTCATGGACATGCCTGAAGAACCAACTAAGAAAGCTAGGGTTTTTTTTTTCCTCCTCTAACAGCAAAACATTGCAAGTATAGTCCCACTGCACTCGTCTTCCTCAAAGATAGCTAATATCTAATCATTGAAACAGATAATTTACTGACTTTCATTATCTGTGAGAAGATCAAGGACAAGGCTTTGGGCAGACTGGTTGGTTTATCAAAGTCAGACATGCTGGTGGGTACCTATAGTCCCAGCTACTTGGAAGCAGGATCACTTTAACCCAGGAATTTAAAGTTACCGTGAGCTATGACCACACCACTGCCCTCCAGCCTGAGTGACAGAGCAACACTCTGTCTCTAAAAAAATAAACATCTGTGAAATAAAATATAAATATGTGTATATGTGTTATATGTGTGTGTAGTATTAAAATGTCATGGGGTTGGGAAGGAACAATTTCAGGGGGGAAGTGTGCTTAGGAAATAATGAGAAATAGATTGAAAAACGCTGTTCTAAGATGTACACCTTGGGGGAATCTACCAAGTAGTTTCATGAAGCTAGAATACAACTGATCTGAGCCTGCAGAGTCAATCTCATTTATAACTACCAGACATCCTTTAAGTACTTTAAGTACTTCAGGGTTAAATCCATCCTTATGATACACCGTCTACTCTTTCTTATCTCAAGACAAGTCTGTCTCCTTGCTATTTAAAGATGAAACAAACTAAGAGTTAAGAAGCCCTCCCCATTTTTTTGAGACAGAGTTTTACTCTGCTGCCCCATGCTAGAGTGCCATGGAGTCAGTCGAGCTCACAGCAACCTCAGACACCTGGGTTTAAGCCATCCTCCTGCCTCACCTCCTGAGTAGTTGGGACTACAGGCACCTGCCACAATGCCTGGCTAATTTTTCTATTTTTTGTAGAGGTGGGGGGTCTCATTCTTGGCTCTGGATGGTCTTGAACTCCTGAGCTAAAGGGATCCTCTCTTCTCAGTCTCCCAGAGTGTCAGGATTACAGGCGTGATCCACCACACCCAGCCTAAGCCCCAGCTTCTTCATCAATAAATACACAGTGTTTCCCAAGCTGCAGATCTACCGCCTCTTCCCACACTATCAAATACATAATTAAAAACGTACACATACTTTTTTCTTTATAATTTCACAGATTTCAGCTTAATTTGGCTTCAGGCCTTCTCTATCCTACTCTCACTATTTTTTTTCCTCTGTTTTATTTTTGTCTTGGTTTGTCTCCCTCCACCCCTCCCCTCACAGTTTTGGATCACTCCTTTGTATTCAACTTCAGCATATGCCAGGCCTTTCATTACCTGGACTTGATTGTTTAAAATCTAAAATTTGTAAAGTACTAGAAGGTAAAGCCAAGTTGGTTTCTGTAGCTTCCTCCCACCTTTTATTTGCAACTATTAGTAACTATTTATAATTATGGAGTCTTGTTTTACTGCTGTATAATTCCCATCTGTTTTGATTGTCTTGACCTTGGAATTACATTCATTTTCAAGATTTCTAAAAATCTCAGGTGGCAGTTTCTAATCAAACGTAAATTCTGCCCCTCAAAAATTATCAGTTTAATAAAGTGCTGAAGTTTAGGAATAACTTATATATACACATTTTTTTGCAGTTTTTGGCCAGAGGAGGTTTGAACCTTCCACCTCCAGTATATGGGGCCGGCACCTTTTCTCCTTAAGCCACAGGCGCCACCCAATTTATCCTTTCTGTTTCTTGAAACAGAGCCTCAAGCTGTCGCCCTGGGTAGAGTGCTGTGGCATCACAGCTCACAGCAGCCTCCAACTCCTGGGCTCAAGCAAGTTTCCTGCCTCAGCCTCCCCAGTAGCTGGGACCACAGGTGCCCGCTACAACGCCCGGCTATTTTTTGGTTGCAGCCATCATTGTTGTTTGGCAGGCCCAGGCTGGGGATTCGAACCCGCCACCTTAGGTGTATGTGGCTGGCGCCTTAGCCGCTTGAGCCACAGGCGCCGAACCACAGTATACTTTCTTAAGTAGGACACAAAAGTATGGAGTTACTTTAAAGCTTGAGCCCTAAGAACTGTGAGTAACCCTGTGTGTACTCACAGGCGTGTCTTCCACTTCAGCAGGCTTTGTTGTTTGGCGGGTCCGGGCTGGGGATTCGAACCCGCCACCTTAGGTGTATGTGGCTGGCGCCTTAGCCGCTTGAGCCACAGGCGCCGAACCACAGTATACTTTCTTAAGTAGGACACAAAAGTATGGAGTTACTTTAAAGCTTGAGCCCTAAGAACTGTGAGTAACCCTGTGTGTACTCACAGGCGTGTCTTCCACTTCAGCAGGATGCCCGTCTGTGCTAAGAACAGGCTGAAGGCACACCTGACAGCGCTCAGCAATCCCTTCCTTTATTCTCATCACTCAACAGATTCAGTTCTCAACTGGTGGTGGTAAAGCTACCACTCAGTACCTGCCAGAGGCACGTGCAAATGTCTGGAGGTTCCAAAGCTTTAGAAGGCAAAGGATAATTTGGTACGCTACAGATATTCAGTGATGCTAAATGCAATGTCCAAAACAATCTCATCTTGTCCAATACATCAAAGGCACCCGAGTTGAGAAATATTATATAGACATTTTTCCCCCTCAAGCCTTCTGTTGCCTGCACAGCACTAATGATTTATTTCTAATTAGTCACAATCAAGCCCAAAGAAACAGTTCCTCTCTGTTTCCCCTACTTCTGAAAGATAAAATTATTAGAGAGGAAATACGCCACAAATAAGCTCTACCTTCAAGTTGAGCCTCTCTAGGCAATGTCAGGACATCCAAGGCTCTTGCCACCACTACATTTCAATTCTACATAAAGTTCTTAATACATAAAAGCAGCTTCTGAATCCTGTGGCTGGCCCTATGGTCTATGCTATGGTATTCCTTCACAAAGACCACATGTCTATAGGATTTTACATACAGTACCTTACTTAGATCTCACAATCCTAGGAGGCAGCCGACTATATGGTATAAAAACAGAGACTCACGCCAGACACTCTGGGTTTAAATCTCAAGTCTGCAATCTACTAGCTGTGTAAACTTAATCAAGTTATTTAACCTCTCTGTGCTCAGTTTCCTTGTCTATATAATGGATGCATTAAGAAGTATAGAGGCTCGGTGCCCGTAGCACAGTGATTACGGCGTTCGTCACATACACCAAGACTGGTAGGTTTGAACCTGGCCTGGGCCAGCTAGACAACAGTGACAATTGTAACAAAAAAAAAGCATTTGGGGCATTGTGGTGGGTGCCTGTAGTCCCAGCTACTTGGGAGGCTGAGGCAAGAGAATTGCTTCAGCCCAGGAATTTGAGGTTGCTGTGAGCTGTGATACCACTGCACTCTACTGTGTACTGTGGGCGACATAGTGAGACTCTTGTCTCAAAAAAAAAGAAGTATAGAGTTGCTCTAACAATTAAGTACTCAGAACAGTGCCCAATAATAGAAAGTGCTGAGTGTTTGTTAAATACTTCTTACTCCCACTTTACAATGTTGGAAAAATACTATCATTTGTCCACAGTTGATAAATCCATAAATCAAGATTTAGACCTAAGTTGTCTGAGTCCAAAGGTTGCATTCCAGCTGTTAACATCCTATACCCTTGCGCAGCACCTGTGGCTCAGTGGGTAAGGC